ATATATATATATATATATATATATATATATATATATATATGAATTTGCATTTTGCTAGAAAGGATGCTAATATGACAACCGAATTTTGGATAAAGGAAAATAACATTCGCCTTAAATTTACAAGCGGTGTTCCGATCTTGGCAGTTGAGTATACATTGTGTTCATTTGCAATGTAGTAATGATCTAAGGTTAGTGTTTACCGAGAGTGAACTCTGTTGTGTTTGCCATCTACTCAGGGCTACAATAGGGTGGTGGCATAACCATCCATTCAAATAAGTACAATTAGATCAAAAGGGTGTGAATATCGCGAACATGAAATCACTTCAAAAAAACCAAAGATCAAAAAATGGAAGTTGAGTTTTGGAACATTTAAGCATTGTTAACTTGACTGACAATTACTCTTAGGAATCGAATTAAACCGCTTATCTTCGTTACATGCTCCTTTCTAACTACTTGCTGAGGTATTTCATTTTTTGGCATTTTCAGAGATTATCACATGACTAGAATCGTAACTTTTTGCCTTAATCCGGCTCTGTGGGTCTTCACATTTTCAACAATGCACAGGAGCCCACATGATTAGACAAAAAATCCCATCATGTCTCATTCGTGCAGAACTTTTTTCCGTGCGGAATACCTCAACAGTTATGTAGTTTTCATACTCATATCTGTGAATACTGTCCACAAACAACTGATATTATTGGTTAATCATAGAGAGGATCATTCCTTATATATCCACTTCCAAGGAAGCAAATTTATTTTCTCCTTAGAGGAAGCATTGTTTGAAGTTACACATTTTATACCTTCATCGTTTAGGAGTTACACTAAAGAGCATCCAGGGAATGAGAATCGACATGGTGATCTGATAAAAAATGGCGAAACAAGTTCAAAGCAGAAGTCTGGTAGCTAGTATATTGCCATTCAGTAAGCGATCATTCTAAGACTTGATGCCAAATGAGATCTTACCGATGCCAATACTTCTCCTACAGCGCTAAAAGTTATCAGCGGTTAGCGTGTTCATATGAGAAATAAGATCACAGGTTCAATACCAGGTGGGACCCGACGGTCGAAATTACTGCCAAATGGAAGACGACAGAGAAAAGGCAAGTTGGTGATAAAATGGTGGCTCACATACGAGGGTGAGTCAAAAAGTTCTCAGACAAATTCCATAACTTGCTTATTTAACAAGTGATTATAGTCATTTTTCTGCATAGGATCCATTGTTGTCAATACTCCTTTTGTGACCTATATTTCCACCTGTAAATCCCCCCATGGCAGAATTTTGGGGGCTCTCTCCGGTACTACGAAATTACATACCTTTCCGTTTCATCTAAAGAAGTGAATCGGGTGTCATTAAGGCGTTCTTTCAGTTTTGAAAACGAAAAAAGTCTGAGGGGGTTAGGTCTGGACTATTAAGGAAGATGTTAAAGTATTACCCATCGAAGTTCGCTCAACAAGGCCTAGAAGAATGTGCAGAGGCATTGTCATGAGGAAACGAAGTTTGACTGCAGATTCCCGCCCGTTTTATGGAAAGAGATGACTTCAACTCCTTCAAAAAGCCTTCAGAACTCGAGGTGACAGATTTCTGTCCTTCTAGAAGGTCTATCCATGTCACTCATTTTGAATCCCAACAAATAGCGCCGTGACCTCCTTAGCACACATTTCAGCTTTGAACTTGATGTTTCCTTGAGATGCCATTCTTTGGATTGAATTTTGTTTTCAGCCTCATCTTGGTAGTTTCAGGTTTTACCTCTGCTAATACAAAGCTTAAAAATGATCCCCATTTACTTCCATTTTTGCCAAGATTGGTAAAGAGAGTTCCGCTCTTTAGATCAGTTGATTTTCCTGCAACGCTGTTGGAACCCATCATGCCCACCGAGAGCTTGCTCACGCCAAGAGCTTGAATGAGAATTAAATATGCTGATCCGTGTGAAATTTCTATTTCATTGACCATTTCCTCAACGGTAATTCGTCCATTTCTTTCATTCACTAGGTTCAGCAAAAGAGAGCTGTTCCTTTGTTTCCTTCCTGTGGCGGGTTGTTATCAAGTTGCATTCTCGCCTCTTTAAAGACCCTAATCCAATCATAAATGACTGTTCTATATGGCGCAGGTTCCCCATAAATCTGATGTAAAGATTCTATGATCTGAAGAAGTTTCAAATTTACTCTGGTTCAAAATTTTATGTCAGCTCTGAACTCAGAATTTGCCAATTGAAGAAACGAAAATTATTATCTGTTTCGAGATGGAACCGGTCTGGATCTTGATCACAGATAGAATGATCGGACAGCTGCGTATGTCATTAAGAAAGCTCTAAAGACATGTTTGAACTTGTAAATCTTTGCTCTTTTTGAAGTTATGGGAATTGTCTGAGAACTTATTAACTCGTCCTCATATCATTATAAAAAAACTAAGCGATCAGTTCTAGACCGCGAAGGTTTATGCAATACGAGACAGCAACGAGGAGGTGCAGATCTCGATACTCTGGAGCAAAACTTCCAAACATACGATGTATGATGTTCACAACATTTGATTAAGGTCACAACTTAGAGAAACTTGCACTCGGTAGGGTGACTAAGACAAGAGATTTAGTGTGAATACAGAAAGTCAAGTTAATGGTATATTAAAGAAGCACCAAATAAGGAATATTACTTGACCCGGCGCAAGCGATCAGTAACATTTCCTGCATGATGAAGGCCACGGGATCTCATTTACCTTGGCTACGCCAAATCAAAACGTGACTTGAGGTTGTCAATAAATATCTATAGATGTCAGAAGGGGTCGACGACAACTATGTCACCGGGTGTTAGCTTTTTTGACTATTCCTTCATGCTTGTGTTGTTGGGAAGTGAGCTCACTTTACTGCTGTAGAATTAGTCAATATGACAGACAATTTTCGTTTAAGTGTTGAATGAAGAGGCCTTCATTGAGTAACCAATTTTCTGTAGATAGTACCAAGGTAATCACTGAGTTGACATCGTTTCCACAATGATAACAAAATGGTAGTTACTTCAAGTGTATAATGCACAAGGAACTGCTTTCTCTGTCATAAGTTCATTGGAGATATGCAAGCATTCTTTAAGTTCATCATACTTATGTTCACTTTGTTAATTAGATTCCAAGTTGGAATTCAAATACGGTAATGGAATGGAGCTAATTTTTGATAGATTAACGTAGGGGTTATCGCATTTGTTCGCAGGTGTCTGTGTTAGCATCGATTTTTTTATGGTTCAGAAAGAATAACGATATTTCACCCTTATTAGTTTATCAATTAGATTACTTTAAAAATTCTCCAATACGGTGCTCTAAAGACTTCTAATCAAGAAAAAAAGCAATCGTTTATAATGCTTCAGTTTGATACATTGCTGTGTTTATAGTTCACCACTCTTTCCTTCACTCAAAATACAACACAGCCTAAAAAGTGGGGAATAAGGTTGAATCTCTCAGTTCACTTTACTCTAACGCATTAAGATTGAGAAAGAAACCCGCGAGTCTACCATATCACAAGCAGTTCACTCACCGCCAAATCAGAATAGACATGATCTCCAAAGTAGAGAACTCGTTGCACTTGCCAACCCTCCAGTTTATTCAAAAGATTGAGATTACCCTGAGTTGGAGGAAAATAGGAAGGATAAAATACACGAGGATAGTCCAAGAAGAAACACGTTTGGAAAAAAAAATGGGCTACGTGACTAACCCCTTGGTAAAGACGACCTCGTTCCAACTTTGTGCACTCCGCCCAGCTCTGGAAAGCTCCCGACTCGTCTACTTCTCGGAATGGTCTGCAGAAAACGAGAAAAGAAAAGGAAATCCGATTTGTAAAATGAGGCAGTGAAAATACCCTCCAATCAGTAAGAAAATTGATCTATAATCCAAATTAGCTTAACAAATATTCAAATGCACAAAGAAACATCAATTATAAATTCGAGATAGAAATCGGAATATTCTAACTCTCTTCCCTTTAGTAACTGTAGCTTTTAGAGCTCTAAAGTTTCAAGTTCAAACTAGCAACTTTCAACCCCTTGGACACATGTTAAAGCAAACTATTTCGGTAGTGAAAATGTTAGGGGTATGATGCACATCGGAAGATATTCTGCGACTTGCCATCTGTTCTGGATATAATTTACAGCCAAAATAGGTGCATGCTACCTCTAGCATAATAGTTAACACTTGCATTTTTTTCCTGAATAATCTACCTCAAATCCTCTGTAATAAGAGTAAATTTAAGCGAAATGGAAAAATCATTAATAATTTTTGAAAATTACTGCATATCCATATTCACAACTATCGCAGGTATCCAATTGAACTAAGTAGTAAACGATGGGTCTTTCCGATTGGCAACAACTAGCACGTAGGGATATCTTAAAGTCTAATCGAATAAAGGCAAGGTAAGAACGGCAGATTCAGTGGTATAAAACAATCCAAAATTAAACTAGAGATGAAACATAAATCCAAAAACGAGAAAGGCAAAATCATCTAACACTGTGGCGATGAATTAGACACACTTTTTCAACCAATGGATAAGATATCGACCCTATATCACATGGGCAAGAGTTGGCAATAGTCATTCTGGACTTACGCCGAATTTGACCGGAAGAAATCTGGTTTGTTAGCCTTTACAATAATTACATCGAAGAAGCGTTCCCAGCCATTGCCAACGACATATTTCATACCTTTGCTTCTACAAGGGAAAAATACTCATCATATTTTGCGACGACAAGCATTGGCAACAAAATTAGCTAACTGAGTGTCAATAGATTTCCCACTTACATGAAATCTGCTCCGCTGTTTGAGATAAGAAATAGGCCTTTAGCGTGAGAAGCTAGGTGAATTAGAAGATCTCTCAGTTGGGGATTGGGCTTAATGTAGCGTTCTATGAGTAAAAAAATAGAATAACAAATAAATATGCGTGGATTTCAAAAATAAACGAAAACTTACTTAAATCAGCACAGATTGTACTGTGAAGGAGCCCTGAGCTATGAATATACTCGATGGCTTTCTACGAATAAAATTAGAGGAAAAAGTAATGAAAGTGTTAATAAAGTTCACAATTTTATTGGTTGATAATACTTGCTGCCGATTGGTTGACATTTAGTGTAGGTAAAATAAAATAATGATTTAACGATTCAATGACCAATGATAATTGAATAAATAGCGATCAACCATTGGAGGTAATGACCCATTGGTTAATAAAGTTAGTTCAAGATTAAACCAACCTTGACGTCAGTATAAATACATTCTGGTTGGTAGATGATGCCAGATTGATCAAAATGCTAAGAACAAAAGACAAGGGAAAAATTCAGGCTGAGAATGGATATGTTATGAAGGTATTTTGAAGTCTTACCTCAATTACAGAACAAACAGCATAAGCTGCGGGAAGTTCGAAGAAATCCATCATTTGTGTCATTTTGTGCTCCTGAAAAATTACAAACACGAATATTTGAATTTGTTTAGACATTCTAAGAGATCCACCAGTTCTACACCAACTACTACAATCACCGTTTTCAATTACTGCAATAGTTGTGCTTGGCATATATGACCGAAGGATCATCTTCGCCCATTTATTCAGTAAATGGAAATAAAGATAACCGAAAGCTTCTGTTATTAAAATACCAGAACTCAAAGGTTGATTAATAATCAAATAAGTACTCTCATAAATAAATTTTCGTAAATTCGTATGCTTTCCGACTGATGGACAATTTTTACTTATTAAATTGGGTTAAGTTTATAAAAATGAGAAGTAATACCACACACAAAGAATACTTTAAAGATTATTTAGTCTTTAAGAAAAATATTAATGCAAATACGATTCATTTATTTGAGTATACGAGAAAAGAAGTAATTTGTGTGACAATCTTTTGCAAACTTGCCGCTAGTTCAAGAGGCTAATAAATCGATATAGTGCGACCATAATCTCAAACTAAACGAAGGGGTCTGAATTCAATCAAAAATTAAGAAAAAAGTACAGTTGTGAATAAATAAATTGTCAATGAATTAACAAAATTAAGATGAAAATTAAGAAAGAAAAACTAATTTCATACAAAGGCATTGACGAAAAAATGGGGAGCGTGAAAAACAACTCACTGGTGTGGCAACCGAGCCTCTAACAAGACCCGAAGGAATGTAAAGTCCTTTGTAATTCGCTTGAACCACATCTGCAGGAACTGGTTTCAAACCCTTGTATACTGTGCCAGGTTGAATATTTCGATAACCATCCACTTTCATCAGATAACCCTACGTTCCAAAATCATAAAATCGCAAACTATTTTAAGTACTGTTTTTATATCATAATGCAATCCACGAATAAGGAAGTTTGGATCATATCTGATCTTTTTGAGCTCGACCGGATACTACAATTCGAAAAAGGATATAATTTAGCAAAAATTAACCAACCTTCCACTTCGAGACGAGCATATCAATAGTTGTATCGAATATGAAATCTGCAAGATCATTAGTATAAGTCACAAGAGTATAATCATAATCAAAGCCATAGACATCCACTTCGCTCAGCCGAACTTCCCTGTTAGCGAAAACTGCATCGGCAGGAATACATTCCATCATGGGAACGGCTATTATTAAAGATTGGGTAAAAAAGATGACAAACTTTTGTTGATTTCCTCAAAGTTAGCATACTTTCGATGAAAGCGTTCTGCTTCAGGTAAATGCGGAAATTCCATATCAACACGTTCGTTTCTTTTTCGTAAGATTTCAAGTGGAGCGCTTCTATCTACATTAGTATACGCTGTTTTTCCAGAAATGCAGCGATAATATTCCATTATGATACAAGAACTATGCCGAAGGACAGACGGATTCATCATCTTCAGGTAAAATAAAATATAACCCACTCTACAAAACTAACAGCAAATACCCAATCAGTTAAGCACCGCTTGACGATTAAACCAATGCTAAAGTTACATGAACACGAAGAAATTATACTTCAAAGCATATTAAAATATTTAGATAGAATAGAATTATGTGCACAAAATACCTACAGTAAGTAGCGAATACCAATTCGCAGGGTGTTCTAGGTACGCCCTAGGTCATTTGGCAATTCACTGAATCAAAACAACTTTCTTGGATTTATAAATCGAGCACGAAACGAGTTTTATAAATAGTGCTTATAATAAAATTATTTTTTCTATTTGATAAAACTTACTTACTGTTATTGAATCACTTTTAGGTTATCCTAAAAATGCATGATAATTTATTCACTCCTTTGCGCAGGCAATAGTTTCAATGTGGAATTTACGCGAGTCCCCATTTTAAAACGACTCTTTAAATAACTTGAACCTATCCGTTCTGTTACTACCAGGAAAGGACAAAATATTTAGCAGAATTTACAAACTTCATAGCAATAGAATGTATATTTACAGAGATATGGAGATGAGGAATTGGACAAAAATGAACAAAATAAATAAATAGTACATTAATAAAATTTCACACCATCGCATCTTCCCTGGCCCATTCCCGCTCCAAATTATCCATTACTCCACAACACTGGTAAAATCTCTTGTCATCTCCAAGACAGGCCTTTTCTAGAAGCCTTTGCATCTTTCCGGAAAGTAAGAGACGTCTCTCTGACTGATTTAATTCCGGGGAAGATGATGTCTCAATTCCACCTTCTGCTGACTTTTTCAACGGACGTTCGGAATGAAGAGTCTTCCTTAGAAGAGCTGCAAGAGTGAAGATAAGCCATAGTAATAGGTGTTCAATTGAGTAACGATATAATATTTACAACTGACTTGCTGGATTCGTCATCCAATAGGGTTGAGGAGCACGATTATCATCCCTAATAACCAATTGTGGCGCAGAAAAGCGAACTTTCTCCGTTGGAGCTGGAGATGCTTCACGGAGATGCTTAGCACTTGTGGGACTCGACTCACCTGGGCTGCAAAATATATAAACATAATTTCTGAATAATAAATTATAGAAGATGTGACGAGGCCGAATAGTAGGCTTGACGTACGATCAGGCGAGAAGCAAAACAACGCCTGAGAAACAATTTTTTAACAGAGTAAGAATTGCTGTTCATATATATTATTTATGCAAAAACTAAATTAAGTTAAAGAGAAATAAAGTAACTGAAAATATAATTTACGTACATTTTCTCCGCATGCCGCGAATCCTCCACAAATGGTTCACCGTTCTCACTAAAATGAAATTAAGAATAGACAGCTTAGGTCGTGAGAAAGTTACGCGCTAACTTATTGGACAAACATCTCATTGAACAGAATCGACTAAGCGCTAATAAACATGAAGGAAATGAATTAAATAATTACAAGTTACTATGGCAAATTTCACGAGATTTGATCTGAGTAGTGACGAGTGGCTCTGAACCTTGCTTTTCAGAAACGCGAACACTTACATACTCATCTCGTCATCTCTTAATTAACGAGTCCAAGTGGTTTCCATCCGATAACTGCTTTAACAAAGCAAGGTAAAGGCATCTGTCGTTACATCAACGTCAATCTGACCACTGAATCAGTAAATAGGTACAATGATGCTGATTTAAATAAACTCAAAGAGTGAAACAACGACAGGTTATGATGTAACTATTCTTTTTTAAAATGCCTATGTGTATTCCCATTTATAAACACTGACAAAAACCATTGACTGAATGAGAGCACATTAATGAAAGATTCCAAAGTAACTCTCATCTACGCAAGGAATGACAATTACAAATTAGTTCTGGATAGATATGTGGTATTAGCGTAGATTCCCGTAAAAATCTCAAACTTTACCACTCATATGGCCAGTCAATCCACTCACTCCGTGTGGACCCAATTTTGACTTCAAAAAGCCATTAAGAATGCGTTCATCAGCATATTCGTTAGAGCACTGGCACAACCACTTACCTGATTTCATCACCATCTTCAGTACAATGCCTTTGCTGGTACTGAGTTGATTTCCGTTTCGACAACTTTCCCACAGCGAAGCCGCTCAAACTCGAGGGTGATACTTTGTGATTATGTTTCATTACCACCGCTGTAATTTTAAAGCCCTGGGGTGAGTAACGGACATCAAATTTGGCCATACAACCAAGCCGAGCAGTAGGAGAACGGGGAGAGGCAGAACCGTTGAGATCATACATAAGACGAGTGCCCGCATTAGCAGCAACACTTTTTCTTTGGCCAAAATGGACACATTCGTAGGTGATTCGCCGATAGCGGAATTGGTCCCTTTCGGGTTCACCGGGTTTGAAGAGATCTGAGCGTCCGACACGAAATCCACTACCAGTGGCCTCTTCAAAGGACTTTACTTTCGCCATTACCTCGTTAAATGACATCAATTTGACATTTTTAAAATGCGATTCGAATTGTTCTGTGAGATCTACAACTAGAAGTAATATGAGCATGTAACAAATGCAACGAATTTAGAAAACCTGGGAGGGGATCACCAGCTATTCTGGAGTGATTATGTTCCATAGCGCGTTCGACAACCTGTAGAACACCTTTTCGGACCTCCACACGGAAAAATGATGGGCAATGGTGCGTTCTTTTAAGAACACAGGCAAAGGTAGCTTTGGAATAGGCAAGAGTCTCTTTTCGTGGATCACCCTCGTTATATCGAAAAGAGCTTGCTACCTTAAACTTTACGCCTTGATACTAAAAAAATATTCATCAAATACAATAGAAAAAACGTAAAAAATATTTATCAAAACATCGTACTCGGCTGAATTTGGAGAGAGCTTCCTGTAATGCCACAATGGTGGCATATGATCTAATTCCGATTTCTTTATCGAATGCATCGGTAACATCCATGACTCATGAAAGAGTTTAGATTAATTGAAATATCAACGTGAAAATGAAAAATCAAGCCCGGAAAATCCGTAAACATGTACCATAAGTAATGGAAATTAAAACAAAAACTTATAAATTCATTCTTTGATAAAGTTACTACCTCAATGAAAGATATACATTTTAATTAATTTATATTTAATATTGAAGTGTATAAATACATGTAAGTTCAAGATTTATTAATTTTACATCGCATATTTTTTTGCTGATTTTGAGAAAAATACTGAATTTCAGTTGAATTACGATTTATCTTTCTCCCATTTTCTCACCCACTAGAGAATTTTTAGAATAAGATATTAATTAATGCCTTAACTCAGTGAAATAATTTCAAGCGAAGTAATTTTAATTTATATGTGGTTCAATGCACTTGTTATGTGGAAATGTTCATCTGTTTCATGGGAATTATTTACTCTTGCGTTATTTTGTGTCTTGAATGTTAGAATGCTAATTCATGACTTTTTATCCCGAAGATTTCTGTCTACAGACTTTGTGTAGTACTTAATACGTTTAAACATAACAATCGTTTGTTCTTTCGAGCACTCCAAACGTGCGGCTGGATCAGGGATCAACTGAGGTCATGGTTGCAGAAACCCCTCTAAAAATCAATAATTAATCGTCATTACAGAGTCAGAGTTCTCAAAACAGTATTTACTGAGTAATATCTGACCCAGAATCTCAGGGAGCTGTGGAATATCACAGAATACCCCCCCCCCCTGTAAAACGGATTCCACGTCAAGCTTCCTTTACTTTGTACCGTTTTGTTTTAGATGTTGCTGGAGATAATTCAAGACTTGTACGGATAGCAATCTGCTACAGATTAATTTTAACTTAGTGGCAGTCTTAAACTGGAGAACTCCAAGTAGTTTGTGTAAGGCCATGTTTTGAATAATACCAACTTTTACACATTCCCAGTCGGTAATATTTCCAAAGCGGAGCGATATTAGTCTTTAATATCTGCTATATTACAATTCGCATTCAACATTAAGCAACCCATTTCATGGCACTAATTTACCTTTATAATACATTTAAGAATTTCGTTACAATGTTTAGTCCCTCTGTGAATATATTTCACATCCTATTTACAGGTATCCAAAATGCATGCCCCATCTCATTTGCGAGAAGAATCATCATAAAACAAAATTAGATATGCGCGTTAAACTTGCCTCTACGTGATGCACCCTGGGCAACGTATACTCAAACAGCAAGTCTATAAACAGGCAGTTAACTTCAGACTACCATGTTCCGACTGATAGTCATATTCGACCGCTTCCACTATCTCTTCTACATGTGAATTACTTTTCTGCCCCCCTCTCGACTTTTTGCGACTTAGACATTCCTTCCCTCTACGAAGCATTAATTTACCTAAAGGACTAACGATGCCAATCATAAAGCCTGCCATTTGATACCAACAAACTAGAATCGAAGTTTTTCTAACAAGATTACTTCATCATCCACTATTGATCACTATTGAAATCTATTTTCACGACTGTACTCAACTTATCAAATCCGAGAAATGAAAAAAATGACACAATCAAAAACAAAAGAAGTGAATTAAAGGGGGAAAAGAGAGTGAGGGGCAAGTGATTATTCTGTACAGGGTGTAAAAAGCTCGGTTGCTCAAAAACACAAGCAACTCCACTAAAAGGGCAGTAGCACATCCCTCCACTCACTCATCCACAACTATTTCACAAAAGCGTAAAAGGAGTCCAGGAAGAGGGATATATGGGGGGGGGGGAGAGCGGAAAGAACACAGAAGGTAAGACAAGTTTTAGGAAGTTATAAATCGTTCCATTTTCCACAATATGTGTATTTTAGTACCATCATTGAGTGTAATTGTGGGAAGTTGAGCAGGGGAGGCAAGTCGAAAGCGAAGCAATGGAGCCTGGTGGTAGAGGCGGGAAATGGTGAAGGATACATGAGATATCCAACTTCAGAGGAAAATTGGCGATGCGCTACTGCTGCTGCTGATGATGATATTTACTAGTCTCTCATTCATTCAGGAGGCATAATGATAACTAGACCTAACTCCTGGATTCATTCCTGTCTCAGCACAAAATTGAACAGCCTGGAAATCCACCCCAAGAAATTGGCAATCACTTTCAAGGCGACGTTGCAAGCTGGCGTAATCTATTTCTATTTTGCGCTCTTCTTGATTGTGCTCTTCCATTACTGTAGACTTGTTGTTTTCAATCTGAAAGGGGAGAATAATAGCGTTTTTGGGAGGTTATATTCTTTTCAGATGCATGAAACCAACTACTAGTAGTAGTAGTAGACAACTCACAGCTTCTTCCAACTTATCGGCCCTCATTTTGATGCGATTGCGTAGTTCAGTATCCTCGTGGTCACGTTGAGAACGGAAATCTCGAGCTAGACGGTCCTGGTAGCTGTGCATTTGCTCTCTCAGTTGACGCATTTTTTCATTCAACCTGGCACGATCACGAGCCAGCTCTTCTTCGAGTGCCTCCTAAAATAGCAAGAAAGTGAGATCGTTATGCCTTTTGCAAGGTAAAAAATGGAAACAGAGATGGGCCTATACCCTTGAGTTTAAAGCAAACATCAAACAGTTCCGTTTGTTGCATATGGAGGCGAGATTAGACCTGGCTATTCCTAACTTTGTGGACAGGCGCATTTACCACACACACAATCTATAATGAGATATAAGGACAATATCCAAGCGCTGATGATACAGAAAAATAACTAGGATTTCTAACTTACGGTGTGACGATTAGATGGGGACTAATTCTAAAAAAGTTAATTATGGCGTAGAAGTACCACAGGATAGACGATAACTTATATCATTATAATGCAGATTTATTTGATAGCGAGTCATCGTCAAATGGACGTCTGTACCAGGCTCCTGAGCTGATAAGAGGAAATATTTGACAAAAACTTCTCTTAAACAACGGAACAACATTCTTGGGAAAGCCACATTATAAAATCATTCCTTTGACCAATACATTTAGTCATACAATTCGCACATCTTATCTGTAGTGACCCTGAAACTTAGTAAGATATTTACGGTTACGTTTAACTTGTCTAGTACACTGCAAATAAGTCTAGAGCCCTAAAAAAAGAAGGTCTAGGACAGGGCTTGACCAATCCAAATTTTGGAAGGCAGCCGAATACGATGTCTTTGTAAACGCCAATCGAATGCCACTACATATTTAGACGCCGAAATCAATGTAAGGTGATGTTGAAATAAATTTGTAAACCCACCGTTTTCTGTCGACGATACTCCTCTAGGGTGGCCTTGGTTTCACTCGGAGATGAAGGGAGGGAAGAATTGTGCGGTGATTTGTTCTTATCTCCAACCGGGGAACCAGGTTGGTTGTGGTACTGAGACGAGGGAATTGGCGATTGTGAGGATGTGGAAGTTTTCTTTCGATTCAAGAACCAACCCGTGACTTTGTTCTGTGGCCGCAGTGTCTCTTCGTAGTGCTACATTGAGCAAAAAACAGGAGTGTAATGACACAATTACTTCCTACCTTAATGCTAAACAAAGTAGCTGGTTAGACACAAAATAGACAAAGGCAGAGCAACTGTGGAAAGATAATTAGACAAGCTAACTAAGTTTAACTGGGTGATATAGGAAATCTGAATTTGAATTTATATACATAAGTGGCAAATCGACTATACAAGTAGAGGTTAAATAAAAATCACTAATGGGGGGGGGGGGGTTACAGTTCTATCGAGCCAAGCAACAGTAAGTTCACTACTAAATTGATGCAAGATGAAATAATAAAGATACTTCACCAATTCTTACTAATTTAAACAACTTTTTGCTCGGTTGTAGACACCACATTAATAAATTGAAGAATGGCATGGGCTAAATAGACAACAAAAAAGAATAAAACATAAACAGAGGCAACTCGTTGGAATTTGAATTGTCTTCAAACTTCCTCAATATAGCTAATTCAATATCGATGTCGGATCGCAAGATTGATTGAACATGACAAGCTCCAATCAATCCAAGGCAAGCTCACTTTTGAGTCATTGCACAGGAAAGATTTTCAGAACACAATTGATCATTTCATAAAAGATCCATCTGATTAAACCCAATGAACAGCTCAGGATGTTTTATATGAAATACCATCCCTCTCAAAATCGTAGCACATTGAGGAGGTAGGTAGGAGATTAAGATGGGCTTAGAAAGCAGGTGTGGAGACTACCAAACCCAAAGTCCGGAAACCAATAATCACATCACGATCAGCCAAGCTGTGGTACTTTCTTTTGACCCAAATTGCCATAACTACTACTTGATCACACTTAGGATGGTACGTATTTAACCCCTTGCTTAGTCAAATTTAAATTGACTCTACGTTTGATGTAATATCAGATGTCATAATTAAATTAATAAGTTCCAGTAGAGCTATTTCCTTCCACGAATCATTATTAAGGCAACAGCTACTACTAAGGAGACCAGAGTACCAGAAAACCAATCAACCCAAGAACTTATTCGTTCAATACACATTGATTCTTGAGCATTATATCTACTACTAAGTAGTATATATTGATAAGTAAGGAGTTATTTAGATCCCAGACATAATCAGTAAAAGATAAAAAACGTCAAGGCAAACGAGAATTTCAGGGACTGAGGGGAGTCATAATCTTCGCTCAAATTATTTAGCTGATTATTTAACTGCCAACCTTTAAACACAAGCGGAAAGAACAGTAATGCAGGAATATACAAAAACCTCTTTTGCACGAACCTTGAGTTCCTTGGCGAGAATCTTGCGTCTATGGCGAGCTTCCTTTTCAAACTCCGCAAACTGAAGTTCCTCAAAACGACGTTGCTCTGCATCGAAGAAGGCGCATTTCTCCTCGAGGTGACGTGATTGAAGAGCATGCTTTGCACGAAGGTTCGCCAACTCGATTGCTTCAACTTGTGTGTGATGGCTTAGAAGCATGCACGATTTGTCTTTAAGAACTTCGTTCTCCAGTTTCTTCCGCTCTTCAAATTGTTTCATCTGAAAGTTAAGGAAAGAGCCAATAAGATTGCGTTGTGAATATGGCTAAAGTATTGCCTCTTCAATTTTCTTTGAAGTTATTAAACAATGTAATAAGATTCCAATTTCACAACTAGATTGCCGCTGTGAATACTTTCTCAATAGAGTTGTTAGCAGATGCCAGTTAAGGTTTTCCTCAGTTAGTTAAAGACAATGCATTTTAATGGGAATTTACTGAGGCGAATCCCTAAAAAATGTTTTGAACTATCAGTATCTTTGGATAAATGACTCCCAATTCCAGATGAAAAAGCGTCTTTCAACATTCATTTTGACTAGAGGAATAGCAACATGGAACTTCCCTGGAAAGAAAATGGACTTTTGCTATCAAACATGCGAACTATTCATAAAATTGGAATATTGGTTAAAATGTGCTAAGTTCCACAATTTTGGAGGAAAGACTACAATTAGGGGGCGATTATTGAGCATTGGCATTTGCGGATAATTTGAAGGCTAACAAGGTCAAAACGTAAGAATTCACCATTACACCACAGTCTAAATCAGCTATTGCATTCTCCTAATGAGAATACAGTCTTAAAGGGCAAGGCATTCAGCCTACTTTCCATTACATTTGCATGATCTGAACACATCCATTAATTTATACCAGTAGTGACGGATAATTGATAATGATTAGAGTATATAGTTACGAAGAAGTCACTGACCTGTAGTTCATATCGTGCCTTCAGCTTCTCATACCTCCATCTACACAACTTGACATTGTTCTCATTCATAACTTGTTTGTACATTTGATTCAAATCTGGTGCATGAAGGTCATTGTAGGGCGAGTTGCTTCCACCACTATGGAGGAATTCACTTCTTCTCTTGCTCTTCAGCCTTTCTTTGGCTTTCGATTCCAGTTCACGCACGAAGCGTGTCTCCTCATCAGCTGTGCGTTTCAGTGCTCGATCAAGTGAGTTCTCATGCTGCTCTTGCATTCGACAGACGCACTTCTTCTTAGCGGTTATGAAATTGGTGTACTCACGGTTCAGCTCGGCCATCTTTGCGCTCTCGATTTCCTAGGGAGGAGAAATTTAGGGAAGTAAAACTATCCCAGGTGAAATAACGAGAGCATATCGTTCCGATACTCTCAGCTTTCTATCAAGCTAGAATAAACTCAAAGTCTAAAGTGTGTTGAAGAGAAATACTTTCTAGTACATTAAACAAAGGAGAAGTAATGTAGGGTCTCTACGACAGAGAAACTTAGCCTAATATTCCACTCTTGAATAGTATTAATTGATACCCCTAACATCGGAATTAATAAACGCCCTCGATGACCTCTACGTCATCAATTCCCAAAACTCAATCTCTAATAGATAGAAATGAAGCAATTATAGCAGTCAACAGAATGTTATTACACTTCTCCACAAGATATTCCCAACAGTATACCTATCTTATTGTGTTGCTATTCAATCTTTCTCAGACCCTTTCTAAAGAACATTATCATGCTAGGAAGGTCAGAATGCAAGTGTCTAGCCTAGGTCACAGGGAATTGTAATCCATTAATTATCATACAAGTGACCATATATGGCTAGCAGTAAGATCATAGTGATGGATAGAGTATTAAGAAAGAGCTAGTTTGATTGATGCGTCTGACGTGTTTTAAGGTCAGGCGCATGTCTAACATCTTTTTCGGTAAAAATTTCAAAAGGAGGATAAAAATATCGCTTGGCATCTACTGATAACTAGTTAGTGATGATACAATTGGTGATTTCAGACACCAGGAGTGTGTGTGTGCATTAATGGACATTAACTACAAGATAGAGTGTAACTGTTCTCCAAAACATTAATGTGGGCCTTTCTAACAAATAATCCTTCAATTGACAAATTACAATCAGTAGGCCAGCCATGCTCATGATCTTAGCCTTTGCCACAGAAGTAGACTTGCTTTCCAAACATTTTACGGGGGTGGATAAGATAAAAGAGGTCGCGTATGAGCATAGATAGATAAAGTAATGCTTAATTTCCATTTAAAAGTAGTAAATGGAGAATATTGTGAACAACAACATAATGTGCATTCAAATAGTTCAAAGCAAGTGTTGAAAGTGTTCACAACGAACGTCGACAAACACACATAACCCAGCACACGTCTCTATTATCTTGGCCACACACTGTACTACACTTTAAAATGCTTCAAAAAGCAAATTATTTTTGTGCCTCAATAGTCAATCATGTAAAGGAAGAACGAAAAAAAGGAAAATGAAAATTCTGTTCTAATGAAAAAAAAACAGAAGAAAAGCCAGAATTTCAATTAACGAATCATTAGACGTCGCGTCTGTGAAGTGTGGCAAAAAAAGATGAACCAGGTTATTAGCGCCTCAAACTTATCAACTTTTAGAAGAATTTTCCCGACATTAGATAAAAATATCATACCTGATGGTAACTGAATCTCAAACACATACGATTAACAAATAAACCAATACGTGACCAGATGGTACACACCAGTACCCATTAGTCACATGATGAAAGTAGTTCCAAATAATAGCAGTCTTGTGTTATTTGAATAGAGGAATGATCTAAAGCCTTGCAAATTTATTTAAGAAAATATTGCCTATTCAGTGAAATTAAGATGGCATTTTATGCCGCCTTACACACACACATTGCAGGATCTTTTCAAAGGAGAGAGACTGGAGTGAATTCAACAATTTATTAACTTTAAGTATGCGTTCCGAGTGGTTACAGTAGGCGATAACCGTCTTAACTATTCACAAATACAAACAAACCATTAACAACATACCAAATCTGTAAGTTTACGGAAGTTAGAGAAACAGTAACTTTTCGGTGAACAAGGGATAAGTAGGTAATTTAGTGTGAAGTGGGTAGGAGAGGCTGATTAAATTACTCGGATTTTAGAAAAGTGCATCGACTAGGTGATTAATATCTACTTTGATGAAAATTAAACTTACAAGACACTAGGTCGTTTGCACTTAGATGAAGGTGAATAGAAAGTTTCGGCGAAACAGAAAGTGGATATTTCAGTTACTATTCTACCATGTCGCCGCAGTGAAATAAAACTCTCGCATTATTGAATATCCTCAGAAATAATCAAACGCAAAGTAGTGAAAACGATCCCCCCCCCCCCTAATGGAGATGTAGTGATTGAGGTATCTAAACAGAGGTATATTATCACTACCGCAATAATTTCAGTGGGAAAATTTAATCGAAACTTAATTTGATATAATCACTTTCCGGGAGTCTGAAAGTAAGGTCTGCATTAGTTTGCCAAAAGTAAAACGAAGGAACAAAGCAAAATTGGCCAGAATGCGCCGCTTTACACACGACATATGAACTGAATGACCGTGAGATCCAAAGCCACGTGAAACAGCAGAAATTAAAGATGACACTATTTAAGCTACTAAGGACTTAAACATGACGAAGAATTCAAGGACAGAGAAATGTTAAGTTCAATAAGGGTCAATATACGCAATTCACATTACGTTACACCAACGAGAGTTGGACACGATTGAGTCACATTATGCAAGCACATTTCGTTTCAAAGTTGACTAGCCTTTCTACTAGTAGCTCTGCAGGGGCACAACGCACAACATAGTCTTCCGCTCCCCATACAACTAATTAAAACTATCTCCGACACGTGTAAACTCAGCGACTTAAGTTTAACTGAAAAATAATGAGTTTCAGTTAAATAATATGACAGGGTCACCGCCCTCACCTTAAGTCTATCCTGTTCCTGCTGCAGTTTCTTCATATGCTTAGCACACAATCTCTTAATCGCACTGAAAGAGTAGACATCATCCAATCGCACTCCCTCATCACTTCCTGCACCAGCGGCAACATCCGATTGGCTACCACTGGCCCCGCCAACAATCACAGCACTTCCGACACCACTCTCACTGGGGACTATGGAGATCGAGGGAGCCGCACGCATCATACGTTGAGTCTTGAGGGTAGGGAAATTCTGCTGTTGACCCGTCTGTTGCTGTTGTTTCGGTCGTATAGAGGGACGTATGAATTGGCGACGATGTTGAGCGGGTATGGGTTGGGGCGTTGGTGTGAAATTGGTGGCACCGGGTGCGCTGTTTGCAATATTGGTGACAGCGGCTGCACCAACAGCAGGAGTAATGTCACCTTGAGGTAGAAGACCACTAGAGGGGGTTTGAGTGGATTTCTTATGAGCAGGGAGGAAGGCTGGGGGTTCTGGGAAAGAAAGATGGGTAGAGGATTGTTCCAGAGGGATTTGGGAAGCGGAGGCAGAGGTTGGTAAGTCAATATTACCACCGCCACCACTACTAGAAAGAATATTGGCGTAGCTGGAATCGACGGCTAGTTGCGTGTCGTCGCTATAACCCGCTCCCATTGAGCCACGATTTGCCTATAAAGAAAGAAACAAAGTCAATTAAGATTGTCAATTAAAAGTTAATACTAAGATCTATTATCAGTAGACTTTTCCAGCTTATTTGGAAGGACAAACTTTATTGGAATACCACAACATTCAGCTACTGGCCAAGTGCCAATAGCATTCCACAGACCAACGTATAGTACTAATAGGGAGGAGGAGGGGTGGGAGGGGGGGGGGATGAACGCTAGTAATCTGATTCAATTAGGGAATGAAGATTTTCTCCTTGTAGAAAAAAGGGTACACTTCCTTGTAAACCCAAAGCAGATTTATAGGCATAAAATCAGTGCAAGATTTCACGCTAAGAAAAGCTAGTAAAATTGGTTGGTTCCGGTACAAACCTGAAACGAACAGTCAGTTCTCAAGCCACTTACCCGTAAGCTATAACTAGATTGTGGCTACCACTATCGCCTCATAATTGGCCCACATATATGGCCTTCACTGCTCTCTTCTCTTGGGTACTGGGAACAGTGGGCGGAAAATGCAGATAACTGCGAATCCTTAAAGTAGGACAACGATTTAAATTAATGGAACCTAAAGCATGACAATATACAATGGACTCAAGAGGAAAAGGAAATCAGCACTCCTTAAGATAATGACAATAATTCATTACTTTTACCTATTGCTGATCCAAATAAATCAATCAATCCGCTAATTATGAACTATTTCCGACACTGACCTTGGACTTAGTAACTGGTTTTGATTTCTATCGCCTATTCGTTAGCACTTTTGTCTTAACCAAACACAGCTCCATATTCAAATTTAGAAAACATGCAAATACAGTTACTCCTCAGTCTGCTAATATTCGGCAAATGGAGTCGGCAAACCTCTCACTCTTAATTAGTACGACTTAATCAATCCTCACTAAGCATCTAACCTGAGACCTCTGAGTTGGGCACCATGAGAGGGAGTTGAACCCGGCCACATAGGTAAGAGACAAGAAAGACCAATCAAACCGCTTTATATCACTCAAGTGAGAGTTTGAAGATTGTGAGTTTCTAATAGAATTGACAAGCCTTAATAGGTAAAAATGAGTAATGGATTGTTGAAGTGTATTCATAAGATTCGGCATAAGAACATTGAGTGAATACTTGGATGAAGGAGCTGAGATAAAACAGTCTGAAACAAGGAACCAAGGTGACAAACATTTGGCATGTCCAAACACGAATTGGTTGTAAAGACAAGTTGTCAGGACGTGCACTACGAAAAATCTGTGAGTTCGTTCTAGCTGGATTTGATGACATATCACATCTTACTCTTCACAAGTTCATTCATTAAATCAGACAAGGCTATTAAAAATAGAAGTTGATGAAGGGTTTATGTTGTCCGCCGACTATTGAGTCTTGTCTGATCTCTTTCAAACACAAAAAAAACGCGCCTCAAGAAGACATTCTAATTCATATTAGAAAGTGAGCCATCGGATAAATTAGTCTATTTTGAGACACACACCAAATCAACCATTTGGCCCATAATCTTCAGAAAGAGCTGAAACATATCAACACAACTCTACCAGACTGCAAATAAATACGCACACGAAACCAGAAAGTGCAGATTGATTCGTCCAGTTAAAAGTGAGGAGAGTAGGTGTGAATGGATCTATTGCGAGGAGATGCGAAATGTGTGTGTGTGTGGTTTCGAGGAGCCCGTCAAAGTTTTAAATTGGAGATCAATAACAGAAGGAAATCCACCTAGAATGCACATTCTGTCGAGGAAAAACTGAGGGCTGGATAGTGAAAGTTATTATTTCAAGAGATGACAGCAAATATAAATTGGGCAATTTGAAAAATGCCATAAACTAGATCTCGACACCAATAGACACGTAGAAGCATTCCTACCAGAGGTAAAATTCTCTGACTTACCATTAGCAATGATAGCTACACTTCTCATTCATCTGCATAAAATCCCTACATTTCCAATGAATCGTTAGTGCTCTAACACCCTTCGCACTTAATGACAAGTACCTCTGCTCAATTACCAAAGAACAGAAAAGGTAAAATCGGTACCTTCCTCATCTTACCCATTAATTTAGTCTCTTCCACACAAAGCAGATTGTTTTCGGCAAATACTGACACCTTCATTTTCCCTCCATTTCCTACATTCGCTACTAATTAATTTCCAATTGTCCAATACAAATTTGTCCAGCCAACTTTTTGGTCTCCTCTTACGAAAAAGGCCCTAGTACACTGTGAGCTTTTAGGAACACCTTGGCTCCAAACCTAACTTCATCTATCACTTAAAGTAACTTTCTTCAGAAACCAAATCCCATAAATGAGATAGAAGTCTAGAGGAAACGAAGGGTCATTCATAGTGAAATTACAAAGTACTCACGAACCGCCATCAACTGAAGTTATAGAGAATCCAATCTCCAATCAATACTCGTAGGAAGTTAATTCCCCTTTCAGAAGCATATTTAAATAACTGCTAGTTATTGCCAGGATTATAAGAAGACTGACTAATTTGAAATAAAGAAATAAACATTTCAATGCCTTCTTTCCACTTCTTCATTTGTGGTGATCTTGCTAAATCGCTTCAATCAAACAGTTAACGGAATAACCAAATTATCTTATCTCAGTGGCCCTTCTACTTACCAAACTTGTAACTCGCTCTCTTTCCTTCCCCAGCCTTCTATTAAAGTGCAAAACTTCCTAAGTACTTTGCCCTCATCTCACTTTTGCTAACTTTAAATCTGACTACTCAGCCCCTTGTTTAACCATAAATAAGAACAATGAAGTCATATCTATTAACAGCATCAGTAAATTAACTTGAAGATGAACGAGAGAAGTAAAGTTTTTTTAAAGTTTAAGCCTTTAAACAAGAGTAAGGGAAGTGACTTACGAAACTGTTCTCGGTTGACATTCTTCGTCCTCCTGCAAATCGATCACCGGCAGGTCGTCCTCCTCCGACAGACTCATCGAACTGCTCCCACCGTTGCTGTTTTTGACCGACTGCAACTCCGTGGAGACACCGATCGGTGGCTGCTTCACTGCCGTCTGTGTCTGCACTCTTGCCAGTACCTTGTATCTCTGTTTCACTGCAGGGGGCGGGGGCATTTTCGTAATAGGAGTTTGCAATGATGCCCTGGCAACTAAAATGGTCCTTCGTGGCAGCACCGGAGGTCGCTGCTGGTTTCTGGCTGGAGATAGCTGCGGTAGTGACTCCTTGGAGCTGTTGCTGGTGGTCTGGTTCTTGGAGGTGTATGAAGGGAAGACTGGACGTAGAACCACCTGAGAGGCCACTTCGGAGGCTATTGGACGTGCTCTCAGTCTAGAGAATAAAAACGCATGCCGATCTCAATTAAGCAGCAATGGGGCAATAGGAAGTTAGTTCTACTCTTTGAAGCTAGTAATATCAACCAAGGAGTAGATTTAGGACAGAAAGAAAAGGTGCATTGGCCAAAGAAGGTGGTAACCTAAGCTGTAATTAGGGTTAGACGGCATTTTTTGCCAAAGCGGTATATCCAATACCAGATCCATATGAGAAAAAATTTCAATCATACGGTGGGAATGCATTCCATAGTGATCAGTGTGCCACTGATCTTGTACCCATTATAGGAGTTAGAATCACGAAGTTTTCCTGCCAAAAAGCCCGAATTCCGCTTCCCTTTTTATATTATTGAGTGCATCAAATCTATGACATCAAACTTGGCAAGTGAGTGCTATAACCATCTCAATGGCCCACACCTTGCTTAACTGGGAACAACCGAAATTGCAAAACTGCTGTAATGCGAAAATAACAAAAAAACACGCGCTTCTTAAGCTAGTTTGTTTAGAAATGTTCTAGCAGGGGTCAAATGCACCCGCACTTCCTTTTAACTGCAACTCAAAGTTAATCAATGTGTGCTCAGCTTTTCACCTAGCGCGTTAGCACACACACACACCCCTATCGCAATGTTAGGGGGGGGGTGGGGAAGGAAAACAGAGCTATCTCAAAATAAGAAGCCGGAGAATAAATTAAATATGGGGAGAGTTAAATAACGACAAACACACACACACACACACACACACAAACAAAACACAACCAGCGGTCATGTGTGAGTGTGTGTGTGGGAATTGATGAAAAGTGGGGAACGGAAATTAAGTTGGGAAAAGAGAAAGGCAGTATTAAAAATGCGAAGGCGTCGAGTTAAGTAATCAATAGAAGCAATTTCGAGAGACCTACCCCTTTTGAGTGTCTTGGTTTATTTTATTCAACATTTCCATGATCTGTCGGATATTAGGAGAGATAGACAAAGAGGTATAGTTAGGGGTGGAGGCACACACACACACACGTACTCACGCATATACCACTTAAACGATAAGTTGTTAGCTTATCAGTAGACGTACCGCGCCATCAACGGTGGAATGACTCTCGCCATCATCATAGGAGATATCTCTATGAGGTCCGCCATGATGTTTACGACCTTCCACACCATTACGGGCTGGAGATTCCGCAGTGGAAGAACTCTCTCCTCCATTACTTGTATTCTCATGAAGGATTCTCTTGATCTTAGGACGAACTTGATTGCCCTCAGTGGCGTTGGCCATTCCTCTCTGCACCAAGTCGTGGAGAATTGGATGAGGATCGGGGATGGAGGTACAAAAACGGTGGCTCAGAGCTTCGGAGGAGGTTGGACGCTCTTCAGGCTAAAAGGCAAAGAGAGAAAATAAGGTAAATAGGCACGAGAAAATAAAGTCTTTGGTTATTAAGCACACGCTAATGCATATGGAGTTAAGGGAAAGTTGTACACAACTGTGTCAAAGTTAAACGTACATTCTTCTGAATGCAATTAAAAGAAGTCTTTGAAATGCATAATAAACAGATAAATATGCGAATTGGAAGGCCGATACAATTTTAAAATTAGCCAGTATTAGTCAGTGTTGCTTCCATAGAGCTTTAGATTAACGCAAGCTTATTATTTGACATCCTCACTAAATATTTTCGACGCTTTCATAAAAGTTATCCTAGCGAAGTTGGTTCCAACTTCTTTCGATTACTTTTATTCCTACAACGCACACACGAGAGTCTAGGATTGCATAGAAAGCTACGTATCGAGGTATTAGTAGCCAAAAAAATATTTCTAGCTCCACTTAGAAGCCAGTTCAATAACCTTCGAGTGAAGAAATTATACTGGGAGGTGGCAGATTTACTAGCGATATATTTATTAGATTAGGCTTAAAAGTTAATATCAAGATAGGCATACAATCGTGGATAAGAAGGGGTAAGCTATTAACTAATCGTCTTGATAAGAAATTTAGTCCCAAATGCAAGTTGTCTATGTGTGCCTGTAGATGGACGACTATACTTCCGGTCACATTGAAGTGCGCGATTTTGGTATGCAAAAGGCAGAAAAATTTCCTCTTAGATAACTACACGACTGACTAACTCAATGTAGTGTCCATTAAACTGCACTCCAAAGTCCATTAAAATCAGCATTTAATGAAACATAGAGAACATGGCACAACGAACAACACCTAAGTCCATCTAAAAAGACTGTGACCAATGAATGTGTCACTAATCAGTAGGCTAGAAAAAACTGTTCCGGTTACTATAATGCCATTCCAGTACCTAATATAAAAGGTGAAATGATCTTCAAAATGTGTGTTTGTGGGGTGGCTGCCTAACTTCGCGCCTACCAAGTGTCACAGCTCACGAGATCAATTGCCCTTGGTAAAAATATTCAATGACATGAAAGGCGACTGCAGCGATTTCGATCAACAAGAGCAATTCCAAGACATCTTCCTTCCCAGCCTCATTTAAAATAGTCTCAAATTTAAACATTATATGCACCAGTGCACCACTACTTATTTTGCTAAGACAACAAGAGACAAGCAATAGCATTTTGTGCAATAAAAACCTTTTTTTGGACCGGAGAGAAATAAAGAAGTATTTGAGGCAAGAAAAGATTTCCTTACACACAATGCCAAATCACTACGACGAATGCTATGAATAGAAGCGAAGAGGACAGAGGTGATCCCAGACACAAATTATATTGAACTGTTTTAAATTTAGCTACTCAGTATAGGCTGCGAAAATTTTGCCACGATGTAATAAGACAGGTCTTTTAAACATTGCCTGGGAGAGGGAGAGAGAGGGTTTATATAGAAAAGAAAATATATAAATCGAATTAAATCTCGACATAATGTATAAGCAAGGCCATAATTAATTCAATTGAATGAGACAACCAAGTAAAGATAAATTAATATGAGTTTAATTACATTAAAACATATTGTGGAGTAAATGTAGTTTAACAACCATGAAATACACAGTGGACTGATTGCATCTATCAATGATTGTACTCAATGAATCAATTACGAAAAACAAAACAAAATTTACTTAAAAAGAACCCGCATAGTTAAACGAATCAGAGCTTAACTAATTCTGGCATCAAGGAACTATTGAAGCACACAGAAATCAGCAGACTAGTCTCATGAGGGAGAAGAGAGAGATAGGTCCAATTGTAGTAACGCCTCAAGTCAGTGTATTAGTTCATGCGTCATTTTAAATAATCCAATAAAGTGAGTTTTTGCATGATATGTGATTCTCCATAGTTTGAGTGTTTATCAATCAGTCTGCTAATCTTATCTACTTGTAAAGTGATACAAATGGATTCAAGTTATTTGATCAAACATGTAAACGAGTTAAATGGGCATGAATTCATTCAAAAACCAAGGAAAAAATAATGTAAATTGAACCTTGGAACAATTAGATGATAAAACGTGAATTATGACCACAATGGGAGAACATAAAAACCCTTTTTTTCTTCAAGAATGCCACAATCCTTGATAGTCTGACTTTATCGAGTTACTCTCATTTGGTCACTCCCCACATTTGACCCTGGTTGAGCTCTGTTCCACAATTTGGCAAGAGGAGATATACATGGATTTCGTAACAGAATGGATAACAATAACTAAAATGAGCGAATATTTCTGCAATCTTGGTCAATTTAAATGGTTCGAGGCAGACGAAATGACAAAATTTCTATCAAGAGTGCAATAAATGACTGGAGAAAGAGGACATAGAAACTTAGAGCTGATAAACAACAGAAAACATATATTTTTGACAAATGAGCATAAATCTAAGCCGAATAAGAAAGCTAACAAAACCTCAATTGGGAAGAACTGCACACTTGATAGGTTCAGAATTTACTACCTTTTACTTTGGCCAGAATTATCCAGTGCTTCCCGAAGTGGAACAGACTAGCCATTGAAAATAGACAAGCAATTTACAATAAATGCCCACAAGTTGACGAAATTTTTAGCCCAACTATACACAAAAAAGCAGAAATTACAGCAGTCAAAGCTTTTTAGTACCGAAGTAACAAACTAAAACATGAAAAGGCAAACCCAAATAATTACCAATTGAGAATACTAGATGTACAGATAGTTTAAGAGGCAAGAGCACAAGATATCCACTCAAACTATCAGCTCCATGGAGGTGGAACTTTTTGACAAGCATTCATGTCTATTCATAAATTCAGTGATTGGAAATAAAGAATTACCTTATTCCCACCCTTTCACATAATTAGCCATCAGGTAATCATTTACTTAACTCCGGAACTGGAATGGTAATTACAATTCAAGGAGGCATTGGGAACAGTATTCGAGGAGATTAAGAGGTAGATCTCAATTAAATGTGAGGGCATAACTATTATAAGAAGATGATGATAAGTAGATAGTTAGCATCGCTCGGCATAGGCTATTTGAACACACACACACACAAGGATACTCTATCCGCAAAAGTCACACCGAAAGGAGTGCACATAGGCACGCTAAAATCAGCCACAGCCACCGCGAAATCGTCAAGCGGGAAAGCACGCAAATTGGGTTGAGGCAAAATCTAAGGCTGCTACACGCACAAATAGCACGCATGTCAGGGACCTTTAGCAATATCTGCAAATCGATCTCACACACACACATTAAGGTCAGTCTTGTCACTATGATTCCTAACTCACACAAAATATAAAATAGTGGTGGAGGAATTATTTAAGCAGAGCATTAACCGAATACAAAAAAACGACTTTATTAATATAATATCTACCCACTCAAGGCTGTAAGAAGAAACAAATGAGTCGATGCTGTAAAATGAACTACCCAGAGTTTAGTCTGAGTGTTAGGACCAAATTAGGGATAAAATAATGACAATAAGTCTTAAGCAATATCCAATGCCCCGGACTTCAAGTGGAATAAAACTCTTGTTGCCTTGACATTCTACAGATGCCACTTTCTTTATCCTGTTTTGGTTCATTGCGCTATTTTCGTGCTCAGATCTTTTCCCATGACGATAATCGCGGTCATTTGTGCATATTTAATAATGTGGATGGCCAATCGCACAATTTTATTTTGGAAAAAATTTTAAATTTCACAAAAGTGACAAGTTATATGCGTCCAGTGGAGTAAAGATGATGAAAGACCACTGAAACAAGTACATATTCAGATCGATATGCAAGTTCTATAAATGAATGAGTCTTGAATAGTTTAAGAAATGGTCTTTAAAATAAAACACGAAGTTAAGAGAGTTACATTCAGGCCCACTTATATAAAAACGGCTTAAAATAGAATTGTTTGATTTACTTATCAAGTACCCGTTAGATCTCAGTTTGGTTTAAAATTACAAACAAGAAAGGAAGGCGGAAGACACACGTAAAGTTTTTTCGATCAGGGATTTGAAAAAAATAGATATATATTTAGAGTGGGGCAAACCCGGATACCATTAAATAATTAAAAATGAGTGAAATGGAAGAAATCGTAAAAATCTGAAGAATAATAACAGAATTGAAAGAAACGAAAATCTCGAACAACGATGTAGGCAATGGAAAGGGGCAGTGCAAATTTTTTTTCTAACAGTCTAAACAGTGCCAGACAAATTACAGCTCCCTAAAAACCAATTCATAATAATAATAATAATTCGCTTTCACAAAAGAGGAGAAGTTAGAAAAGATTTTTCTAAATATGTATTTCATGTATGAGGGTTCATTCAGCAGTTGAACTACACCCAGCACTCGAGTATCTAAATAGTAAATGGGCAGTACTAACCACTAGATTGCACAACCTAGTACCACCTTTTCAAGGTCAATGAGCCGAGGTCACAGAGATCAGAAAATTGCGACGGGGAATACCAATCAGAGAATTGCAGAAAACAGAGAGGTAAATTATCATTACACACGCAGATAAAATGTTACATTGTTTTACATAATAGGTCCACTTAGTAATATTAGAGGAATTCTAAGAGTTAACAAACTTTTAAGTATTGAGTAAATCAACCTCACTGAAAAGAAGATGGAATCTCCTCTTCCAAGAAAGTTGAAACACCCAGTGGGCGTAATTTTTAAGGTCATGAGTTAATGAGAACCATTAGTGTTGTTGGCACATGTAACATGTAACAATAAACTTCTGCTCCAAAACAAAGACGAACCACTTACACCCTATCCGTGCCAATTTTTATTTCTGTGCTTGAATAATAATTAGTTGCTACACACCACCAACCCCACAATGAATGGTAGGAAATAAAAGAGGAACCAAATAATCAATGAGCACAACAAAATTCACATACACACAATCGCTAAATTGAGCAGCGCAAATATAGAAGAGTGCGAAGTGACGCAAATGAATCACATACACACGCATAAAAGATGAAATACGAATACATGATCAGTAGCTACTACTCACACTTTTCTTGAGAACGAAATCGACAAAATCGTAGAAATCCGAACTCCAATTGGACTCCCTAAGCCGCGGAGCGGGGTTCAGAGCAATCTGATAGAGGGCGGCCATTGTATTTGCGTACTCCATATATGGCGGTTTCAGTTCAGCTACACAGAAAATGAGCACAAAGGTAAATAATGCGGAATGATACTGAAAGAACCAAGGCGTTTATTAACTTACCCATTTCTATACAAGTGATACCCAGAGACCAGACATCCACACGACAATCATACAGACCACTTTCCATGGCAAGAATAACCTCAGGCGCGATCCAGTACGGTGTGCCGACAAAGCTATTTGCAGGACTTTTAAAACTCACAGACCCAAAATCGCCGATTTTAACACCACCACTTTCAGTAAAGAGAATATTTGCTGCTTTTATATCACGATGAATGAATTTTTGGGAATGAATATATACGAGGCCATTGAGAACTTCGCTAACAATGCAAGAAATCTCGCATTCCTTAAGTGAATGCCGTTGAACTAGAATGAGGGAAAGTAAGAAATAAACACTAGATTCACACCTTTTAGAATATCTGCGACAGATCCCAAGCAATACTCCATAACAATCTAAAAGTAATGGCGATAAATGGTATCACAGAATCTTACCCATGGAACTTGCTGATCAATATAGCATCCACGACACTGAACGCAGTTTTTGTGTTTCATTAAGGTTATAAATTTTATCTCCCTCCTCATATCCTTTAGGTCTTCAAGCGAAACTTTTCGCTTGGAATCATATTTCAGCTTTTTGATGGCAACAACTTCGTTAGTAGCAACCACGGTAGCCTAAGAATAAACACAAAAATAGAAACTTACCCGATAAACTATTCCGAAATTTCCAGCACCTATTTGAGAGAGGTCTGTAAAAAATTGATTGGGATCTTCTTTGCAAATAATCCCACTGTTCTGAAGTTCCGCAAAAGCGTTTGCACTGGTAATCTTAGGCATTTCACTTGAATAGTGGTATAGGATTTTTATATAATCTTACAATTGTTTAAAAAACGATTATTTTTAAGAGAATGGGAAGCTTAGAACAAAGATAAATCAAGCCCCTCTCAGCTACATACGATAGCAGCGCCTATAAAATCAGGAATCCACTTATTTTTTTGATAAAAATAAACAAAACGGAAATTTAGTTCACACAAAAGTTGATTAGACAATTAGTAATTACATATATTTTAACAAGAAGTATTACTAACATAGATGCTTTTTGTATAACATGCTTTAGAAGTCTTTCTAGGAGTTGCTACAATCTTTCATTATCGGCCATTTATCCTCTTAATTACGTGTCAACTAAGTATTTTCAAAAAATAATAAATTTTTATTGATCCGGTAGTCAAGTTATTTTGATAAACAATAAATCCAAGCACTTATATTTAGTCTTAGAGAAAGTTTGCCTAGGTAATAATGATAGTTAAAAACAGAGAGATAGTCAGATACCAATAATACTGTGTTTCAAAGCATGACATGGTAAAATACTATGCTAACTCAAAAAACGGAGTTCCACTCAGTGCTTTAATTTCATTTTCATTGATTGTAATCTCATCTTGATTTAGAAAAAGCCGTATTATGTCGGTGATTATTCGGGTTCTGCATGTTTTAGGTTTCATATTCCTCCTTAGTACGAATAACAAACTGGTATTAAAAATTTTCCGGATATTAACAAAAAAAGTGCCCAGCGATGTACGAGGACAGTAAAATAGTGATACTGCGATATTTTTCTTTCTTCTAATCGAATAATAAACTTTGCAATTTTTTATACTCTGATGACTATCATCGCCTTCCCCAATTGCCCCTTTCGTCCCATCGCACTGCCAAAAAATGTCTTCGGAAACAGATTTCAGAGCGAAAGCATTAGAAGAACCCACCTATTATTCCACCCTCGACCCAGCATACCCGCATTTCTGGTTCTTCAAACTGGCAAATACTTTCAAACTACGGGCGGTTCTGCAACAGATTATCAAAGTCGAAATTTAACCATTATTAATTTTCTCGGACAAGCTTGAAATTCTATATAGAACATTGGGCAAGAAACTGCTCGCTTATCTACTTAGCCGTCAAGCTTCTGACATGCTTTAGGGGGACGGATCGTTTGCGCTGTGGATGAAGCTGGCTGTGTGTGTGGTGCCGTTCTCAATCATGCAGCTGGAATTATTCAGAAGGTGACGATTACACTTATATCACTGCCGCCATATATTATGCAAAATTGAGGAATTAAGATTGAGTATCACGGAGTTCGCCGCCAATGCAACTTCCTCATCAGAGACAGATCTATTGCAGGGATGGAAGAGTAAGAGGCGAAAAAACGTGTGGGAGGTATTAAATGTGACCGGGAGGAGGTGAAGAAGAAGGTACTATGGGAAGTCAATTACAAACTTCACGGGTTAAAGTTGCAGTTTCTAATAACAAAGAATAATAATCACATTTACAATGTTTACGATGGATTTTAAGATTGATAAAGTTTTCCATATCGTAGCCTAGATAACCCTTGGTGTTCAAGAACTCATTATTATAAAATCAGCTAGCAGAGTCTCCAATGGGAACGAATTTATTCCTAACATAAAGGACGTAATCGTCCCCAATTTCACTATGAGTAAATTAGAGTCCACCTGCACTCATCCTCATCATCAGCAGCAGCAACAGCAACAGTATCAGCTCTGGACTGGGTCTTTTGCCATCCCACTCAGCATTGGAAAGCGCTAAAGTGCTTCTCAAATTTAACATGGTGTAATATTTAGTTGCTGATCCATGCAAGTAGCACCACAAACTTTGGTAAATTGTATATGTTACTTACACTTTAATTAGGGTTGACATCTTAATGCTTTTACACCTCTCCCGACTAATCTCACATAGACTGGGCGTGTTGGCGAAAAGTGCTTAAATTTCTTCCCGACTTCATTATATCATTATTTTCTCTACTACATTCGATATTTTGTGTTAATTCAAAGGTTAAGAGGCTACATATATATCCAAAACAATGGGCTATTTTTAAAATTATCGCATTTAATTTGTCATCTCTTGATTTAATGCCCTTTCAGTAACCAATCCCGAATATTGGACACATAATGCCATAAACGTACTACTGTCTATCCCTTGAAACTACTACAGCTTCGGTGGATACCTACAGATTGAAGGGTTTTAGCCTCCCACAAACTTGCAATTGCAGCTACTTTGGATACTGCTAATTCAGCAGCGATAACATGGATTCTTAGCTACCCTTGATTTCATAACGCGCACTTTAATGCTATGTGCGTTCAAGCTAATTGTATGTAGCCACCTTCCCTTTTCTTTATTCTAGATTAGCATACATATACAATATAATGGTCACCAAACTCATAATATGATGAATGAAAGTCAACATTTCACCTAAGATGTATGCAAAGACAAAGAGACAATGAGCAGCAACAGCAACATTATGTTTAGAACGAGTACTCTTAAAAGAAGAAAACCCGAATTCATTATTTTCAGTTTATATATTTGTTCGCACAATACTAAAACGCATTACAAACAGCAGTAAAGTTGAAACCCGCTTCATGAGAAAGAAATGGATTTGGATACATATTTACAAACAACTCAGTTAATGTAGACCGTTTCATCAGCTCGTCTCTTCTTTTGGACAAACAGTCCAGGCTTAGTCTGCGCTTCTGGGTGGTTAGCCAATTCAGCTGGACACGAAGAAACGGGTGAGTTGAGCAGAAGCTGCTTCAAATCATAGTACACTCCAGTGTCGTCTTTGGTAAGAAAAGTGACGGCTGTGCCCGACTTTCCTGCACGACCAGTACGACCGATACGATGGACATAATCTAGAAGGGAGACACGAAAAAGTAGTGCAATGCTAAGATCATTTAAGCGTGGCTTAGTACCAGGTAAAACTATTGAAATCAAATGAAACTCTATTTCAAGTTGACAAGTTGACAATTTTACAATGTGAACCACATATTAATCAAATATTATAAAATTCGTATTAACTAATCAAATATCTTATTATTAGGTTGGCAACTAAGTCATTGCCGATTTCAACTAAGAAGACAAATTCGGAATTTTTGCTTAAAAATATTATTAGATATTGGCCGTTCTTGTCGATGACCTTTTTCCATCCTTCTGGCAGAGTAAAAATTCCCCGTTCGTAAAATGTCTGGTCTTTGCCATTAAAAAACTGAATTAGGTGTGATCCGACATCATCCGCGTTGTTAAAAATTTTACCATTTAAAGAGTTTTGCATAGAACGAAACAAATGGTAATCCGAAGGCGCAAGGTCAGGGCTATATGGTGGGTGTGACAAAACATCCCAACCCAGTTCCAATAATTTTTGCCGAGTAACCAAAGATGTGTGGGGCCTTGCGTTATCATGATGGAAAACAACACCCTTCCGATTTCATAATGCCCGCCGCCTATCTTCAATTGCATCCTTCAGTTTTTCGAGTTGTTCAACATACACATTTGAATTTATCGTTTGGTTCTGCGGCATGAGTTCAAAATACAAAATTCCTTTGTGATCCCACCAGACTGACAGCATAATCCTTTTTTGCTGAATCTCTGCTTTTCATACTGTTTGGGCTGGCTGGTTTTGCTTCACCCATGATCTCTTGCGAGTAACATTGTTATAAACTATCCACCTTTCGTCGCCAGTAACTAGGTTCTTCAGAAATGGATCATTCTCATTNATGCTAATCCGTTGCGTCAAATGAATTTCCTTTAACTGGTGAGGGATCCATAAATCAAGTTTCTTCACATAACCAAGGGTTTTTAATTTGTTTTCAATGCATGTATGCGACACATTGAGCAGCTTCTCTGCAATATCTCGTGTTGTGCTGTGACGATTTGAATCGATAATGGCCTTGATATGGGTTTCATCCACTTCGACTGGGCGGCCAGATCGTTGTGAATTTTTCAGTGAAAAATCACCGGAACGAAATCTTTCAAACCAATTTCGACACTGCCTTTCGTTTAAGGCTTCATCTCCATATACGGCACATAACTTCTTTTGTGCTTGCGATGGGTTCTTGCCTTTTCGGAAGTAATAAAATAAAATGTGTCGGAAGTGCACGTCCTGTTCTTTCATTTTTAAATTGGGATAAAAACAAAACTAAAGAACTAAACAAAAAAAATTTTTCCTAATTAACCTAGAAGCCCATACAGTAAGAAAAAAATATAGGTTAGATGCTCTGGCCACGTTAACAAAACAAAAGAAAGTATAGAGTGAATCTTTCAACAAAAACGGTAATGACTTAGTTGCCCACCCAATATAATCGAAATGTATTTTCTTACTATCTACTTTCAATCAGTTACTGATTCACTCTTACCAATCTGAAACTAGCTTCAAACACATAAATAAATTTTAAATAATACCAAAAAAGTAAAAAAAAACTCTGTTCCATCTTTCGGAATAATTAAAGTGACCATTTAATATAAGATCGATAGCAATCGTGCATAATTCACAGCCTTTTAGCAACGCACACTTACCATCAATAGTCTTAGACATGTCATAATTGATAACCATGGAGACGTCTTTGATATCAATACCACGACCAGCTACGTCAGTGGCCACGAGAATTTCCTTCTGACCAGATTTGAGAGACGCCAATGCATACTCACGATGCTCCTGACCTTTCCCACCGTGTAACACAACCGCGGAGTGGCCGAGTTTTTCCAGACCCTTGGCAAGAATGTCTGCACCCTTCTTCTGATTCACGAAAATTATCACTGGAGGGTCTATTCCCTCGTTCAAAATATCCAAGAGCTTCTTGCTGTAAACGAAAAACGTTAGAAATAAGCTTATTTAATTAGCACAGGACGATTAAACAACTAGAGGCGAACAATTAATTTGTTCTGGAAGACATGATTGCGAGATCACATAGGGTATGAGAGTCAAGTCATGAACATTACAGAGCAACACACGAGAATGTTTACCGATCAATCCATTTGGAATTCAAATAAAGCGAGATTCTTGAAGACTAAATCCATTATCTGCGTCTACTCGTTTCTCTATTTCATTCCATATACAATCGGAATACTTTGCTGTTCTCTATTTTGTGGCAATAACTACGCTATTAAATGATAAAATATATTTACTATTGAATGAAATGAATTGGCGAGTAGATTGGATCTTACTGGCAAAACTGGTAGCCATGCAATTCTAAAGATCGCAGTGGCACCACTACCTTCAAATAGATCAATTTCAAGCACTTTCCACCTCCTAGTAACTGATAAAAGCCTTGAAAATAATTAACTAATATAGCTTAAACTTAGGGACCTTAAAAGAGGACCTCTGACGCAACAAAACGCCTCCAAAGCCAGATCGAGTAAGGAATATCCTAAGGACTTAGATCGTCTTATTTCATAATCTGCTTTTATTCACATGACATTCAGGATTGTGATTCGATAAGAATGATATGAGTGGAGGGAAGATATAAGGGAGATGCTCTTCGAGACACTTATACCTAATTGTCTCTCACTGACCAGAACTCATAAATTTAATGACACCTAAATTGATGGAGGTGCACACTGCCTACTATCTAATAAAATTCTATATACCTCCAGTGAAATTAATAATTTCAAGTATAAGACGAACCGTTTTTCGTTCTCCGAAACCATGTAGACAATCTGTTCGACCCTCTCCGTCGGTTTGCCAGCAGTACCAACGTAAACCGTCGCTGGACGTCTCAAATAGGATCTAGCCAATCTTTCCACAGCAGGAGGCATAGTAGCCGTAAACATGACAGTTTGTCGATACTTCTGTTTCGTCGAAAAGTTTGCCAAAAGTTTGTCGTCCTGTTCTGCTTCTTCAGTATCAGGTTTCTGATTAGTCACCGGGAGGTAACTGAGGATATTGTTAACGTGTGGTTCAAATCCCATGTCAATCATCTTGTCCGCCTCATCCAATACCACATAGGTGCACTGATTAAGCACGATGTACCGGCTTTCCAGAACATCAACTAATCGGCCAGGGGTACCAATAACAATTTCAGCTCCCATGCGCAGCTTCAAGGCTTGATCCTCTTTGGATAAGCCTCCAATAACAGCAACGGTTTTAATACCCAAAGGAGCTCCAAATTTCACTGTTTCTTCTTCAATCTGCTGGGCTAATTCACGAGAGGGGGCCATGATTAGAGCATAAGGGCCCTGTTCTGTATCCTCCATTCTAACCAATTTGGGAAGAGTTTGAATCCACGTCAATAAGGGAACAAGGAAGGCGAGAGTTTTACCTGAACCTGTCTCTGCTATTCCAATGATATCTCTATTCTGCAAACCGATTGGAATGGCCTGACGCTGAATTGCCGTGGGTTCAACATAGCCAACCTTTTCAATAACATCCAACAGATCCTTGTGTATAGTAGACTCCTTCCAGGAACGAATTGGATTGGGAAGGTTACCACCCTTCGTGGAAATACCGTAATCCTCACGAAAGATACGCCAATCACGGTAGGTCATTTCTTCGAGAGATTTCTCAGTCCAATGACGATCATCCCACTTCTCCCTGGCCTCACGTTTAGCCAAACCGTGAAGACGTTTACTAAAAGATTGTACAAGACACATCAATTAATTGTACATCTTAGAACCGAATAATTAAATAAGAAAGACCTTAAATTCAGGCAAACACCAATAACAATTCAAGCCATAGAGAAATTTTTATAGCACACCTATATTATAAATCAACCTCCTCCGTATCTACAATACCGAAATCTTTCCTCCTTCCAAGGAGTTATACCTAAATATATTTTGAAATTGTTTAGGTAATACAATTTAGCAAGTATTAAACAATGAAGGACAGATGGAATTTATGAGTTAATCGATTCAAAGCGTCTTCCAAAACTTAAGAAAACGCACACCAGAGATAAGATTTGTAAAGTCGATTCTGTTGGACCAAGGTTTCGCCCAACTTCTAAAGGCTCAAAACAACTGTTCGAAATTCAAGAAAAATTTAGGCAAGCAACTAATCGTTTGAGAGAAAATCGATGGAAGTGAAGAAGTTAGGCTCAATCGCCATAATGCAATAACCTCTATGGACTAATGTACGGATTCCAACAGTCATGTAACCGCCACCAGTCGTTAGAGGCTAAGCCACTTCCAATATAAGAAAAATAGTAAGACTAATATCGAACGCAACAGTACCCATAGTGCTCCATTATTAAGAGCCCAGATCACGAAAGCACGGTTGCTTATGGAATCGAAATATCTCAATTTTATATATGGAGTTAAATAAAAAGGAAACACATGCAGTAACTGAAACCAATCAGAAAGAAAAAACGAAAATAAGCTACCTTACTTCTACAAACTCATGAAATTCAAAATAACGCGTATTCTTAAGCAATTCTTATCAGATTAATTAAAATACCACTTACACTTCTTGCTCTTTCTGAGCGTCTGTGCGTCGGCTTTCGATCAAGCTAGAATAGAACTTTCCTAGTTCTTTTTTCTGTTGTTTGATGTCAATTCCACCGATATGTCCCCGGCCAAAAAATTGGATCTGATGCTTGTCTTTGTAGAGAGGATTGTAATCCTGACTAGTATCTTCATTTGCATCCCAATCAAAGACAAATTTTCTTTCGTTAAGCCGACGGTGACGACGCTTAGTAAAACGCTTTTGGCCTAAGTAACGTTCTTTGATAGCCTCGGCTTCACGCTCCTTATCAATCTCGAGTGCTTTAGAACCCAAGTCTCCACTACGCCTATCCCTTCTACTATCTCTGTTGTCGGGATATCTTCGATCTAACTCATCAATTCGACGTCTGGAACGATAAGAATCGCGGGAATCGTAACGGGAGGAGATATCCTCATCTCGATTTTTAGACAGATATTCGATCTGTTTATTTAATTCATTAGCGATCCGGTTTTTCTGTTCCCGAATGGCTGCTTCACGCCTTTGAAGGGCCAATTTTTCTCGCTCTTCGCGGGAAATAAACTTAGGCTTTGCGAGCTCCGCCTCAGATGCCTCTTTGCGTTGAATAAGCTCCTCAAGAGAAACCGGACCTTTCGGTTTTTGTGATCCCGATTTCGTTGAATCATCTTTTATTTCCTCACTTTCCTCATCTTTCCTATCAGGTTTAGGCCTTTTCGCTGGAGGTTCAGCATATTCACTTCCCTTTTTATCCTTCACAGGACTACAAAATCAACAAATTAATAATTTCTTACGTATCAGATCTACGATGTTTATGACGATCACCCTTGGAGTCCTTATATTTACCCAATTTTTCCGATTTTGAAGAGCTTTCCGTTTGCTTAGATGCCCGCTTCTCTTCCTTCCTCTTACGTTTTTCTTCCTTACGCTTTTCCTTTTCTAACTTCTTTTTCTTCTTCTCTAACTTGCGCATCTTTTTTTCCTCCTTGTGCTTACGATACTCTTCATCTGTCATTTCAGATTTATGCTTTCTTTCTTTGGAAAGAGTCTTTGGTGCATTTTCATCAACCTTATTTTCTGAGGTTTTTACGTCCGGCATTCTAAATCCTGAATATAAAGCCACGAAAATTCTAAAGGCGCGCTCAGTAAACTAGATACTAAAATAGATGATTAGAATACTTCTTTATTCTGTTTAATTCGTCGGATCCAAAAGATGATTTTTCTTTTTTTCATTAAATTTTGTTACCAAAGACTAATATTTGCTTTAAAAATGTTGCTCGGAAATTATTCTGATGATTTCTGAATTACGTTTATTTAATTTCAATTAACAAACGGACCAAAATAAACATACATACATAATTTCAAAAGCCCAGTGTAATTTTTTCCCATATTAATCTCTATCATAACTCAAAGTACTATAAAATTTCCAAATTATTTCGACAGGTAAATTAAAATTATTCATTGAAGCAACATTGTGCAACAGATTACTTACGTATACTTCTTCTATTCACTCAAGCTTTAGAAATTCCTATCTAAAAGCACAAAATTATCAATCCAATACTTTATTATCATTTCTACCAACGACAATTTCTTAGTTTTTTCCAAAGGCTTGAAATCCCTAAAACCCACATAAAAACGCCGGACCGTTTCATAATTTACGAAACATCTCTAAAATCATATTTTATTAAAATGGATATTGAAATCAATAGGGACAAACAGAAAAATCAGACCAAAATTTGCAATTAGTGGAATAATTATTCCATACCAATATCTAAACAGAAATTATTTCGACAGTCATTGTCCTTACGTCGATATTGTGCGGAACACGTTAGCTTGCCTGAAGAAGAAAACGCAGTTGCGCTAAAACACAAAGAAGCGCTTGCGTGATCAAACATTTCGGAACGTAACAAATGTGATGCCAACCACACAGGATGTTGATTAAAGCTGATAGGACTTGTGTGAAGTTCGTTCTCTAAAAGGTTTGTGAATCTAGGCCAGTCGGCCTTCTTGAAGTTCCATGATAGATTAGTTGGCACTTACGTTGTAATGTTTTTGCTGCCGATGGTAATACTAGCAATGATTGGTTTGTGGCCAGAACCAGGATCGTCAATTATTTTGCGGTGTGTATGTTCGCTGATGTCGCTTGAAGCCAGTAGTATGTCAGGAGTTGTTCTGGTTCCATTGTAGTGCAAATATGTAACCGGATCATCATTGCTGTAAATAAGTTCTAAGGGGTTGCTGTTAAGCATTTATTCGATTTCCTTTCCATCTACGTTTATGTTATTATAGCACTATCTGGTGAAATGGGGGTTTAAGTCTCCTAATACTAAAGTTTTGCGTGAGATGTTCAGTAGATCAAAGTTGGGACTATTCTGCGGGTGGGTTATAGACTGCGTATATCTTGAAGTGGTTTTGACATTTCCAAATATTTAATCTGATTATTTCGCATATGTCTTGCGTCGAGCCCATACTCTTGATTAGATCGTAATGCAATGTGAGGCCTTCTTTTACTCTAGTCAGAATTTTACCTGCAACTTGACGGTATTTAGGTTGAAGGTACAGAGTGTATCCTGGGAATTGTTGGTATTTGAGTTTGTCATTCGTAAGGTTTACTTCGATGATTGTGAATATGCCTATATCATGGGTGTGTAGGATTTTCTGGATTTGGATTAGAGGATTAGCATTAATAAACGAAGACTTCTGATTGTCCATTGATTGTGCGCGCATGCGATCAACGCGTAGGTGATGACGTGTCCCACACCACCAATGAGGTCTACTTCAGTATCAATCCGGCCATGACCCCAGAATATGAGGAAAAAAATTACCTCATACCTCTATTAGCAGGGATTCAAAATCTTGCTTTTCGATCCATCGAATGGGCTTTTGCAGTTCTGCCACGGCGTTTAGAGCATTTCTTGCCAGCACCCCCCCCCCCTCTTAATACTAGCCTCACGGGTTGTGATCTGGTGATGGTTGAAAGGGAGTTCGAAGTATAAAATATTGTAATTGCTGTTTTCGTGACAGTTTGCTGTCAACCTTTTTTGAGGTGGAGCGAGTTCCCGAATTCTGATGTCGCTATTCATAGAGCCAATCAATGGCTACCATCATTATCTATGAAGTTATCTGAATTTAACTTAATCCGCTCTTTCAAAAGCGTGCCGAGGCGTCACATAAAAGCTCTCAAAAAACACGACGGCTTGGGCGATTTAGTCTATAAGATAGGAGAAGTGTTCTTTGGACTCTACATAAAATTAAATCCATATCTCATTCTGAGTGCTGTGCTTTTTGATCTTTTCTAAATTTCTTCACATCAGATAAGAACCAGATTGAGTGTGCTTCAGCAAAATGCTTCACTTTATCCAAAATTCGTCAAACTATTTTCGTTTATCTATGTGTGAAAATTTAACCTCTGAGATGTCTATGAGTGGTTGCGGTTGCAAAGGCGCAAGCCATTTGGAAGAGGCTGGGGCGATCAATGAACTGTAGCGACAAAGTCACTCGGATTTAGTGAAATATTTTTTTAGTCCAACTCAAACACCAAAGATATACTGTACAACATTTAAATCAAATGGCACGTTTTTTGATAGTTATCATTAGCCCTTTTAATTGACATCGAACTTCATAGAGGGGAAGAACATACAAATTCACTAAAAGTCGAGGGGAGGGGGGGGGGAGGAACAGAAGAGGGGTTCACAGTTGTCTAGGAGGCAGACACAAAGGTAGAGAAATAGGTAAGGTAAGTTGAGTACTGTGGAAGTTGTGAAGGTAGAAAAAAGGCGAGGTGAGTACTGTGGAAGTGGTGAAATATGACATACAGTGGGGTGATGGTAGTTTGAAGTCAGAGGTATATGACATACAGTGGGGTGATGGTAGTTTGAAGTGAGAAATTATGACATACAGTGGGGTCATGGTAGTTTGAAGTGAGAAGCCAACTGCCTCTTTATAGATTTTTGCCGTATGAGTATACGTTTTTCAGGGAGCACCACGTGAAGTTATGTCTACCGCTCACCCCTACTGTACAACGTAATTTGCATAAAAGAACTAATGTATAAGCATTGTTCTCAATTATAATGTAGGGAAGATTTAAATAAGTATTAATTTTGTTGACTAGTAAGGCAATTGGTATAGTAATAGCAATGCAAGTTCAACAGTCACAATGAGCTAGAAGGCGCATGGTTTTCTAATCTTTTAATATTCTAGACTATTAACGCTTGCAGACACAATACAGAGGGTAAGATTTGGGGGCAGCCTGAGTAGAGATGTATCGGTCTAAACACCTTTGAGTTGTGTTAGTAATATAGTCAGATCACCTATGAACAGAAATGAGAAGTCCATGCTATGGGGTATGAAATAACTTAGTCATAAACTGTTCGAGTTACCCACTTGTGATGATACAAATTCTCAGTGCTCTCAACACATGTTGAGCAAAGACGGGGAAATGTATAATCCCCTGTCGTACTTCAAGAAAACGTCCCACGCTTATAGGTGATAGAAGTCAAGCCTATGTGAGGATGCGTCACCTAGCAAAAATCGATATTTTACCCAAAATAAATCTTATATATAACATCCTTTCTTTTAACCGATTTTTTAATTTACCCGAACTTTCTAAATGTTCATTTGGTAAGGAAATATTAAATATCAATAATCTCAAAGTATTTAATTTTATTTCGAACAGGCATTTAAGGTAGAAAGACGTACAGTATATGGAACAATGAAATCACAATTTGTAAGGTAGAAAACCAAAGTAAAGTGTCGAGTAAAAACGTGTAAACATCGGGGTTCTATTTGAGCTTGGTCAAACTCTCTCAAATGTGCGACGGGAGAGTTCATACCACCGTGTCACCACATTTGAATTCGAATCAATAACGGACTGTCTGGGGAGGGTGCACAAGGGGACCACTGCGTCCCCTATTAAGTGTCTAGCACCTATTGTGTCTAACTGGCGTGCTGTAAAAATGAAACTAGCGTTCTCAAGTTGATTTCGAGGAATGTCAAGTGTGAACTGCAAGGAAAAGTGAGTTGTCAGATTATGATGGCACCTTGAACCATGTTAATAGTTAAGAGCTCACAGATTCGTTTAGAACGGGATTGCTGGTTGCAACAACCACCATTCTCTGGTCAAACAGTGGTCTCGCGGAATCGGCACTAATACGGCCGTCAATAACGAAATTTGTTGTGAGATTTTCACCATTGAGATACTGCAAAAGGGAGCACACAAGTAAGTTCAAGAAATCTTGATTAAAAAATATGCCTTTGTCCAATTGAGAAGGGAAAAAGGCATAGTTTTATACGAATTCATTGGACAAATTAAATTTAATAATTAGTTTAAGAGAAAAATCGCATGAATTCTTTAAAATAGACACGTTCCAGATACTGAGTGAGTAAATTTTTTTCGCCTTGATTTTCAGATCCGTTGTCAGTCGGCAAGGTCATGCACTGAGACGCCTATCAAAGCTCATGAGAAGTCTAAAATGACTACCCAACTTCACTTCGCTTTCCCTTTTCCAACCCATAACTTTATCTACATTAGCAAAAATTTAATCTTTTCCGACGTTTCCTATTTTAATGAAACAATTAATTGGCTCTCTCCTGTCGATCAGCTTGTGGGGAGCGCAACTTTAGCATGACGACCAAAGCCAAAACGACTAATCGACGTTATTATCAACCAATCAACAGTCAAAATCAGTACACGGTTATCATACCTAAGTCAGAGACCTCCCGACCAATCAAACGCCAAAGCCAGTAAGTGGTTTTCTTGCAAGAAATTGCATATTATGAATAATTTCCCCGTCTGTAACTGCCTACCCAAATAAGCACTGTCCACGTAATATGTCTCTATTGCTTCACTGTAGCCTAGCTAATCCTGATAGACTTTCCAAACATGGGAGAAGCTGCCATAGAGATTTCTGAGTATAGTCAAGGCTTATTAGAGTAGCATTCCACTACAAGCTCCAGAAGCCCGGTCCTTCAGTTAAATGTGCGCAACTTTTGTGAAGTCCTCCCTTAGCTTCAGAAATATCTACTTAAAGTGATGTCGTTACTATTCCTGAGTGCTTATCCAATCTCTTTTCTGTGACGCAGATATTTGACAATCAAAGAAAATTGGTTGTCCTGTGAACAAAGCTCCCTTTGATTCTCTACAAGCTCCATTTAGGAAATAAAAGCAAAGATGACGTTTCATATTTACTAAAGTCTAACTTTAATTTAAAAATAAAATGTTTGAGCAATGGGAATAATTATGGTGCAAATACCTGCTTTCAGGGTTTCTTAAAGGTTGTGTTGAAGCATTCAATAACCTCCAAAAACATAGCTACAATATTTTTGTAGACCAAAATAAATTAATACTACTATAAAATAAATTTGGAGTATTGTTTTTAATTTTAATTAGTGCAATTCCAAGTAATAATTTCAAAATCAATCAAAAATAGAAGATGAAAAAGAGAAAACGTAACAAATGTACTCCTTGTCATTATAAAAAAGTGATAAACTTAATTGCTCGTACAAAGATCAAAGTATACATTGGTTGCCTATTAACCCCATGCTAACCAACTAATCAATTTTTGTTCAGAATTTGAACCACAATTATCACATAAGGGGAGAAAATTTTACTGCATTTTAACTTTGCAATTTTTGAACCTCTTAATTAAGGGCAGATTAAATGAGCATTGACAAAACCTACCCAATCATGACCCTGATTAACAGTCACATTAAGTCGTTCACAGGAGGCACTCAATTGTAAAGTCAATTTAACAGCTTGATAATCGGGGGTTGCCAGCGGCTCCTCTTGAATAAGAGAATATTCAGAATTCTTCGAAAACACGTGATTAGTACTGGCACCATTGTTGTACATTTCTTCTAATAGAAAAAAAACAAAAGTAGAAGTGAAATCAAAGGCGAATAAGCATTGCCGACATATTTTGTGACTTGACACATACCAAGCGTAGATCCACTTGCTGATTCCGGTCTTACATCCGTCGTTGTTTGGGTCCAAAACTTCACCAATGTCTCATCCTAAATACAAACAAAAACGAATCATAAATAACATTCCCCAGAGAAGGCAGACGCAAAGTCACTCAACACAATAATAAGATTTTTGGTTTGACCCGACCCTCGAGTGTAAAATAACCAGCAAAGGTAATTGCTGTCTCTAACAGTACATATTCCAAATTCAAGGGGATAAAAAGTGAAGTTTAAAGTTATCAACAGTGTGCCCGAAGGTTAGCAGAAAGAACGACAGTGTATCTGCCCGACCGACGCAAGTATTACTCCTAAGATTTCCAGTGCCCAATTTCCTCTTATTTTAGATACTTATTAAAGGCAAGGAAGACTAAAACGCTATACACTAGAGAGGAATTAATAGTAAGTGATGACATCGGTGCAGTGTGAACCATCTGGTGGATCGTTTAGAAGTACAGGAGCAAATTTTCGCTGGGTTGAGGGGAAAAGAAATTATCCTATATCCAAAGAACCAGTTCATGCCACACTTATCAACATTACTTTCCCTAGGATGTAACTACACACCCTCTTATCTAATTAGTACATTCTATGTTGCCTTTACAGGGGTGCGTGATAGACTTACCTTCACGTGGTGCATCCTGGGAAACGTATAATTATACGGCAAAAAAGTCTATAAACAGGCAGTTTACTTCTGACTTTAAATTATCATGACCCGACTGTATGTCACATTCAACCACTTTCACAGTATTCAACTCTCCATACCTTTATCTCCACCGAAATGTCTAGCTCTTTTACATTTTTGAATCACTCTTCTGTTACCCCTCTCCACATCCTATGAATTAACTGTTCCTTCCCCTCTGTGAAGCCTGAAGTCAACTAAAGGTCTAATGATAACTATCATAAAACATGCCATTCGATATAAATGAATTTCACGTTCACTAATTACCGCAAAATATGATTAACTAAAATTTCAATCAGCTGAGTTTGAAAAAAATAAGCCAAAGCTAACCTTTGCGTAGAACTGTATGAAATCAATGAGAGCAGTCTTCAATTCATCTAGGAGTTCAGGTGACGATGAGGTAGGGATAGAGCAGTTCTTAACTTGGTCGTCCAATTCGGACAAAAGTCGGAGGACTTTTATCGACTTAGGACAATGAGGATTAGCATCCCGAATTTGCCAAACCATGCGTTGCAAATCGTGTACATCTCTCGTGATTGTATAGCTCATTCGTGCCAAATTCTCATCGCCATCGCTCCCAACACATCCGGCTGGGAAGATTTCGAACTTGAAGGCAGGCTAGAGAAAGGATATGCGTAAAAAAGAAAGAAAAAATACAAGAAATTATATCTCTACTTAAATAAAATGAGCACCATGCCAATTCAATGATCGAAATCAATCATTTATAATCAATAGCATAATTGGGGGGGGGGGTTAATCGTGAAGCACAAGGAATAACAAAAATGCGACGATCCGACAAATGGTATACTTACACTCCAAAAGGCATATTTATTCTGAATTATGAAAATTCGTTGAAGGGAAAGATGTAAAAAGAAGTTGGAAATGCAAGTCAAGGAGGGGCAAAAGGTGCTCACCTTAATAAAATGACCATGCCTTGAGATGGTTGAATCAGTAATGGAAATGCTGGCTAATCCACTAAAGAAAATGAAAATAAAGTGATCAATGAAATAGATTAACTCGCTGCAATTAGATTTGCATATCTACTTCTTCGACATAATATCATGACTTATTAAATACTACCTTTGCTACTTAGAACGGTTTGACAGTAAAAATGAGAATGAAATGGATTGGTCAGCCAAATAACCAATCATACTAAGGGGTGCGCGTTAGACTTACCTCCGCGTGGTGCACCCTGGGCAACGTATAATCATACGGCAAAAAAGTCTATAAACCGGTAGTTGACTTCTGACCCCACTGTATGTCATATTCGACTACTTCTACAGAACTCACATCATATTTTTTTTTCTAAATTTTCTACCTTCGAAAAACACTTCTGTCCCCCCACCACACTCGACTTTTTTTCACTCTGATGTTCCTTCTACCCTGTGAAGCCTGAAGTCAACTAAAGGGCTAATGATAACCATCAAAACGCCTGCCATTTGATATAAATAAATCATACTAATCCTACTTTTGGCATAGAAA